TATCCAAATGGGCAACCAAAACCGGCGCACGAAAGTACATGGTTAATGGTTGTAAAAACTAAAACCGAAGATTCTTATCAGTGGTTATTTCTTCACAGAATTTTTTTGTTTTTGCATATATGTGCAACTCAAATCGCTTCCATTTGTTCCCATCGACAGAGTATCTGCCCCACGTACTTTCCTCCGGATTATGGGATATTCGATCGCTTTGTTGAAATGTATCACAATGCAATCGGTGATCACGTGAGTCTTTCTGATGTGTGTTCCGAGTTCTTCTGACGGGTTCGTTGATCTTTTCGTTTCAGTACCGGTAAGCCACACACACACTGTACTTCTTTTTATTCCCATACGACGTGCACCGAGATTATCCACTGTATGCTACATGGGCTCAATTTTCCGCTATGGGAACCGATAATGTAGGCTTTGTGGTGTAACGAATTATGAATTACAGTGACAAGCAGCGATAAACCCCATGAGGGCCGGTATACAGCTGAACCGAGTATCGGCAACCTGGCTCATATTATTATTATCATCATCATCGTACTGCGAGACAGGTATGTGAACTTCGCTGATCGCAGCCACGTCCTCCATGTGCACAAAGTGGGTGAGAAAGACAGATCTGGTTTGGGCCAAACTGGAGGGAGGCAAAGAAGAGGAACGTCTATGGTCCAGACAATGAATACACAATCTAACTGTGCGTGCACACCGTTTGAAGCATTTCGGCCTCATAAGAAATGATAAAAGAAATTCCACTGCTGTTGGTTGGTTGCCTACTACATTCGTTCGGTAGTGCTGGTATCGTTCGAATTTCCAACCTCAAGATCTGGGATGCACCACTTAGTAGTACAATGCAGACGACATTCTGCTACTATGTGTGGATCCAGGTAAGTTACAAGCCTTTCTAGATAGTTTGAGTACCAGTGTAAGCAGGCTCGGTATGTGTTTTGCACCTTCAAAGTGTAAAATGTTACTTCAAGACTGGGTCAGTCCTCTCAATTTTTCTACAACATTAGTCCACCGGAGTCTTCAATTTTCACCTTGATCCTACTTTCAACCTTTCCTGTCTTTCTCCTAATGTTCATTCAAACGTGCACTCAAAAGACAGCAATCAAAATCGGTGCACAAATGTGCATGATTAATGGTTGTACAAACTGAACCGAACTGAACTGATAGCGAAATGAAACCGTTCAACGAGTGCCATACGAAAACAACGAGAGCATTGTTTTTTGTGTTATTTTCCACCGTAATAAGAACTCTGGCTGATTTTGGCCCAGCTAATTGGAAAGAATAAACCTCCATTGTTGATAAAAAAAGTATCTTGATGTATGATTAACTTGAATTGCAAGTGTTCCTTCCCTTCATCCTATTGCTCTACACGTAGCACTTGTTTCATCGGATTCGCATTTCGTGTGACCTGTTCCCTATTTGTACTCTGTTATTGACCTACCTCCTGGCTGCGATCGCTTTGCCCCTCCAGACAGTTTTTATGAACGCTAAATATATGAAACGATCAGGCATTCATTTGATTTGTTCCCCTATTTCCTTTTCCTTTCCTTTCAGGTCCAATCTTTGGTACTAGAAGGTCTAAGCGATACACAAATTGTACAATTGCTGGGCTGGATCAATTCCTATCAGTAAACATGCGTTTTTCACGCCTCTTTATTCAACTCTAATTTTTAGCACGGAAGAATTTATGAAAGATCCGGTCTTGAATATTGATTTCAACCGTTTGAATTTGCTTCAACCGATCAATCTTTTGCCCGAGAGTCAATTGGATGCTTTACGTGAACAGTACGTTGCTGGCCATATTACTATTGTGTGCGTGGCTGTATGGTGTAGTTCAGCGAACTGTTTGCCCGATGTATTCTTCATATGATTTCACACGCCTCTGAATTCCGAGTGTGTGTGCCTAAAGGAATCACAATACAATCACAATCAAAAGAAATCTGTTCATGTTTTGCTGTTAGACGGAATATTGTCAGGTTGCCCAGAATCCAACAGGTGAATTTCCTTGGTGACCTTCGGTTAACCGAAGTCTGACGCGCAAGGCAACGGGGCGGTGAGTGCCAATCGCTTTACTTCAGGGGCCTGTGTCCAGCTGTTCGGTACACACGGCTGTCGGACGGGTCAAATGACCGAGGTGCCCAATAAAACCAGCATGAATTCAGTATTAGGGGATTGTTAGTACATAAATAACATGGCATTCTACACATCTTCACACTCAAACAATGAAAATAAGCTATTATCATTATTATTACTACTAATAATAAGATGGATGATTCCTACCGGTGAATCAGCCAGTCTTCTATCAATCCCGTAGCTGTTAGTTTTTTTCCCGCGAAAACGAGATGGACATTGTCGGATTATTTACACTCACCAACACGTTAATTTACACCCACCAACAGACCCGTTCGTGCATATTAGTCTCGATGTATGTATGTATGCTTTTTTAAACAAATTTTTCCGGATAGTTCAACTGTTAGGGTTTGCACCCTTCTCTAGCTTGCCAGATGCATAATTCTTACACCATTCAAAGGTCTTCATTTGCTAGTCCACAAATTCACAGAAAAAGTGCACACTATGGACATAATTGGTTCGTAAATTACTCTAAGGAGGAGGAGGCGTCTCTTCGGAATGTGTAATCAGACTGAATTGTGTATGTGGAAGTGGGGGAGGGGCCAATTGATACGCCGTCTAACTGCTTCGCACATACTTCCCCTATCCATGCAATAGTTCCCCATGCGCATTGCTTTTTTCTTCCACTTGGTTCTCAGGTATATTGCTAAAACGATTTCTCGACTCGGATCGTGGTCCACAAATTCCCTGTCCAGACATGCAGCGGTAAGTTTTTTGATCACCCCGGTCAGACTACCATTATTTTATGCGTCATAGAACTCACACCGTAGATTTTCCGTTCGGGAGTTGCATCACCATGGTGTGTGTTTCGGAATATTCTGAAATCAACGGATGTTGAAAAAAACTATTTTCTACAAATGTTGCTTTAGCAAAGCTTGGTTGAGAAATGAGAAGGCGTGGGGGTTGCATGCTGTAACACATGTTGATTGGAGAAGGTTTAACCGATGTACCCGTATCATCAAACCATTTGACACATCTCTTACAGCTTCGGTGTTTCGGTATAACACGCGACACTTGCAGGAGTA